GGCAATATAATCGGCATAGTCCAGATCAGTTAGCCGGTATCCGGCTGAAGTTAAACACCATCATCTTCATGTAGGGCCTTCCAGAGAATCGAGTCAAAGACGTAGTTAAACAGAATGTGCAGCAGGACGCAGCCCTGCCTGCACATACAGTAGACGCCAAAGAGGATGCAACATTTCGACATATGCGTAAGAATGATACCCTTTCGCTAATACGTATTGACTCAAGTTGTGATACTTATTACCGTGTAATCTATCCTGTATTCACATCAGTCATCATAGAGTGCGGGCTTTTTAACGATTTTCGTTCTGACCACTAGTAAAACGTATCTATTGTAAAAACTAGCTACTTTAGTAGTTTGCTTTTTTGTCATTTATCTTGACTGCCTTTATAAATTCAAATATATTTTGTGGAGAACATGCACGAAAAAATATCTCTTGTACTTTTTTGATAGAAAATTACGCCTTCTCTATATTTTGTGCTCAAAAAGGATAGTTTTCGGTTTTAAAAAAGTTGCTCAATTGTCAAATACGTTTCTGACCTAGTGACTGCTACACTCGAATTCAAGGTTTAAAGACTGCGCACTGTGTATATTCTGTTTATGGAAATGTACATCTTCGCCTACAGTTTGACGAAGAAGTCACAAAGTAGCCATTTAATTTTGAAATATATTTTGAAAATATATTTTTTGCAGTATAGGCAGCATTAATTAATTGACGGATAGGATATAATATGAATAAAGACCTCGCAATCATAAAAAGCCCATAATTAGCAACTTTTCTAAAACCGAGTATAAAATGAGTATAAATTTTGAAAAAGGCGTAATTTGCTATCAAACAAGTGCAAGATATATTTTTTTTCGTGCATTTTTTCCATAAAATATATTTGAATTTATAAAGGCGGTCAAGATAAATTATAAAAAGGCATACTAATTAAGTAGCCAGCTTTTACAATAGATACGTTTCGCTAGTGGTCAGAACGAAGCTCTTTAAAATGCCCGCATCCTATGATGACTGAAATGAATTCAGAAGAGACTGTACGATAATCATTATCACAACTTGAGTCAATGCCGATTAGCAAAAGTGTATCCTTCTCACTCATATTTCGGAATTTTGCGTGATCTTTGGCGTCTACTCTTTAACTTTTTGAAGCTATTTTCAGTTTGCAGTGGTGTACTGTATGTTTAGCCTGTGACCTTGGAGTCTCTTTTGTGGTAAATTCTCATTGTTTTCAGAGTGCATGCCAACTGGCTAATATATTATGAAAGCTACTGCTTAGACGACATATGCTCTAACTGAAAGTTACCGCAAAGACAGATAACAAACCCAAACATTTAACGTCAAAGCCTAACTTACCCACCGAAAACCTCGACTGCATTTTATTGTCAGTAATCTGAAACAGTACAATTTAAAAATGCACGTTAGCGTTAGGGGCGAAATAAAGAGCCCTTCTGTTGGTAACAATCAATTAGTTAGCATGAAGACATTTCTGTATAAGATATTTATCTGAAACACCTCAGTATATGTAAAAAAATCATATGTATAAAGTATGTTCAGCAAAGCCTTTTTCTTGTTGAGGCAGCTCTGACAAGTTTTTTTAGCACTGTTCCGGCAGTAC